CACTGCTCTGGCCTGGGATAGGCTGTAGCACCACCCGCTTCTCCAAGACCCCGGGCTCAGAAACCCAGATCTTGGTGTGGGGTGTGCCACATGGTATCTCAAGCCCTGGCCTGGCAGAGCGTGGATGCGGGTGGACGTGGAACTCGCCTGTGAGCACCTCCACGCGTGCCTGCATGGATCTGTGTGTTCACAGGGCAATGAACCCAATCCAGGCACCAGAGTTCCCCAACGCCCGTGGGATGCCACATCATGCCTGCACGCCACGCCGGACCCGGTGCCCACCCCAGACAGCCCCGCCGGCAGGAAGGAGCACAGGAAGACACAGCTGCCTGACCCCTGATCTCAGCTGACTCCAACCAGGCCAGCCCAGGGTCCTCTGAGCCTCCCATGTGACATGTCACCACAGCCTCCAGGCACATTCTGTTTCTCTCAGGTTCCCGAGGGACAGGCACAGTCCCACGGTCCCCCTCTGCCCCTCTCAGATGGCTGCAACACAGTGGTGGGTGACAGGCAGCATCCTGGAAGCCCTCACTGAGTCAGCCGACTCAACTCCAGACAAGGCATGCACGCACACACGCGCTCACACACACACACACACACACACACACACACACACACACACACACGAAACCAAGGCATCAGGGGCTAGGTCTCCCCACCCATCCACCACAGACTTCCGTAGGAAGAGGCAGACTCTGTGGCCACAGCGCAGGGGGCAGCTCTCAGACCTTGGCTACCATACTCTAGACCAAGCCCTCGTCCACAGAATGGAGGCCCCAAGAGGCTAACCATCCTGCAAAAGTAAAAACACAAGGCCAGGCACCCAGTGGCTCACACCTGTAATCCCAGCTACTACTCAAGGAGGCTGAGAGCTGAGGATTCAAAGCCAGCCTAGGCAGAAAGTCTGTGAGACTCTTATCTCCAAGTAATGGTCAAAAAGCTGCAAGTGGAGCTGTGGCACAAGTGGTAGAGCACTAGACTTGAGCTTAAAAGCTCAGAGACAGCATCTAGCTCTCAAGTCCAAAAATAAATATAAGTAAAAACACAACACAACAAAGATCCTCCACCTAACAACACCCCCACCCCGGCCTAAGGCCAAGCCAGGCAGTACCAGGCACCCGGCATGCCTGGGAGAGCCCCAAAGGTGGAAGGAAGCCCAGTAAAGCGCTCGAGTGGCCCAGGGCCTGCAAGAACACATCCACTGCACACAAGTGTAAAGGGATGGCACACCTCCCCTAACCCGACTGCTTCCACTTTGTTCACAAACCCCAGCAACTCTGCTGAACTTTACAGAAAGATGGTTGTCAGGGGAGAATAGGAGCGTTGTAGCTTATAGCCCTGGCTGAGTTTGAATCCCAGGCCTGCTAGAGAACTAACCAGGCACTTGGACAAGCTGGCCTCATCCTCTGTGCCTCAGTTTCCTCATAGGAAGAATGAAGACATATGTGCTTTTAAGACTCTGGAGACAATCTGTGAAAGGCACACAGTATGTGTGGTGCACAGATTCTATTACCACAATTAGGTTTTTTTTTTTTTTTTTGATAGGCCAATACTTCCTGTGTAACTGCAGGGAACTCTAATCACAGAGCTTAAGCGTAATCACAACCCTGGTCATAACTTAAATGCCAACAGTCTTTACAATGGCCTTCAGATGTTGAATGTCATTAGCAGTGACTTACAGCCCAAACACCCGCTCAGGCCACACGCAAACCCCCAGGGGAAGAGAACACGGCTTCTCTAATTAGGGGAAGCCTGGTCTCCAGTTCTGGGTCTGCGCAGTCTGCGCAGTCTGCACACGGGTCCCAGACGAGGTCATTTCCCCCGCCCCCTCCCCCAAGGCTCCCATCAGGTGCAGGTGCCTTGAGCCCCACCCACCAGGGCTGGGCAGGACAACCACCTGCAGGTATCCAGGCCTCCGTCAGCTGGTCAGCCCACACCTCCTCCTGGCGGCGGCGGTGGAGCACTTGGACTTTCACCCCACCATAAGCAGTGTTTTCCAGGCTCTTCCCAGCATGCCATGCAAAGCGAAGGAGAGAGCAGCCTGAACCACCATGGCACCGGCGAGCTCTCAGGAGAACTGGCCACCTGGAACCTGGTGTCCCGGGCCAGAGAAGAAGAAAGTGCCTCTGGGGCCGCACGTCTACATTTACCTGCTCCTGGCTGCGTCCAGCCCACAGGCCCCGGCTTATCTGGTCCATTCATTATTAATTCCTCTCAGCACAGCATGCTCCGCCACTCCTCCCCGCATGGTCAGCAGAGGCCACCAGTCTGTCTGACCGCTCACAGGGCCGGCCCCATGCCCGCCATCGGGGAAGGAGGCAGCAACTCAAGAGACAGGCGCTCCAGCCACAAAGCTGTGACTACAGCATATCCCTTCCTGGCCGCTGCCCCTCCGTGGCCACCTAGCAGAAGTCCCCTCCACGTGCATACACACTAACACCGCCAGAACCCAGAGGCTCAGAGAAGGGGAACGTACCCAGCTCCCCATCCAAGGACAGCCAGCAGAGATGAGCCTCCAGCAGGAGCCACGCAACTGTGGCATGGACGCCCAGCCCTTAGAGGCTCAGTGGATCCACCTTCCGGAAGAAAATGCCCCGGTGAAAATGAAGGGAGTGGGAAGGGGCTCCACGGATCCTCAGGGTGGCACAGACCACACTACAGAACATCAGCCCCTCGGATCTCTAGTCCACAGAAAGGGAGATGTGATGGGCCAGGCTGGCATGTCTAGAATGCTGGCAACGTCGTCCCAAACTCTCCTTACCATGAGAACTCCATGGGGGCTGCTCAGCCCTGGCTCAGCTGCTAACACACCTCACAGACTCCGGTAACACGCTTCATCAGCCCCAGCACTGGGGTTTCTTTTTTGTTTTTGACTTGGTTTGTTTTTTAGCCAGTTCCGGGGCTTGAACGCAGGGCCTGGGCACGATCAAGGCTACCTACCACTCTATCACCCCAGCCACAGCTCCACTTCGGGCTTTTTGGTGATTAACTTCAGATAAGACTCTTCACATAAGACTGTCTGGGCTGACTTGGGACCATATCCTCAGATCTCAGCCTCCTGAGTGGTTAGGATTACAGGCGTGAGCCGTGGCTCTAGTCTGCTCTACTGTATGGCAAAACTGGAAGAAAGATTCTGACTCTCATGCCAACTTTTGAGGTGCAAACAGAAGGACAGCAGAGGCCACAGGAGCTGACGCTGGTGACCCAGCTGCCCCCGGCCTCACTCTGCTTCCACAGGTACCACGTCACAGAGGGAGAGGGGGGAAAACCACTTGGTTCTTCCTTGAGGAAGGACACCCCCCCCCCCCCCCCGCCTCAGTAGAGGCACAGGATAAGCAGGTGCCCAGGACTGTGCAAACAGACCTCAACCACACAGGGTCCCCTGCCCTTTCCAGGAAGTGGCTTTCTAGTGCACACCAGACCTCATGGGAACAGATGGGACAGCCATACACCCCGACACTGAGGAGGGTAGCTGAGGGCAGAGCCAGGGCCACGATAGCCACAGAGCATGAGACCCCAGCCCCCCACCTCCTAGCCACCAGGATCAAGTCCACAAACCCCCATGAGTCCCGCACTGGGAGGACCACCGGGGCTCACAGGCCCTGGGTCACCAACACAGCCAAGGTAAGGGAGAGGGCCAGACAGCCGTCACCGAGGGGCCTGGCATCCTGAGACCCCTAGGCTGTGTCATGGCTAACATCTCAGGGATTCGTTCTCTTAACAGCATGGGACAGAGACCACCCACAGATCACCAGGCAACACCAGAGACAGGTGCAAAAGCAGGCAGGAAGTCACAGGAGGTCTTCACCCAGTGCCACAGGTCAGCCACAGCCAGCTGGGAGGCAAAGGACACCCTGGCCTGGCCAGCCTACACAGACTCCTGACCAGGGTGTGCCCAGCCTTCCAGGTGGGCACATCACCTCATTCATTCTCCTAGCTGTCCCCTCCCTTCCGAGTGGAGGAAATTGAGGCACCAGAGGCTCGGGGCCCTGCCAAGGTCACAACATGGTCTCCTACTGCCTTCTACTCTTAGCCCCAAGAGAACAGTCACCCAGATTCTCCTCCAGGCCCAGCCCCGAGGGGAACCCCACTGCTGAGCCGGGCTGGGCTGGGCTCCGAGGATGGGAGACTCTGAGCTCAGATCTCAGAATTCCCTCCCAACCCACAAGAAGGCAATCCTGCAAACATCCCTCCTGAACGGGATTCCTCCTGCCCCTAGAACCACAGGACTGTCAACACCGTGCAGGTGGATGGGTCTCTGGGGGTCCTACTCAGATCTCGGGCCCTGGGGTCCCACAGCTACTGTCCCTGCCAGGGCCAGAAGCAAGGCCAGGCACACCGGGCCCAGACCAGGCTGGCTGCATCTCCGCTGGCCGCCAGGTGTGCTTGCTGGTCCTGTTCCAGACAGGTGAGGACTTCAGGCTGGGGGCTGCCACACTGGCTCCCCGCTCTTGCTGTACCCCCCCCAACACACACGCGTGCGCACACTCACATACACACACAGGCCTAGGCTCCAGCCAGGTGCCACCCCACCCCAGGTAACATCCAAACAAAAGGAGAGGCGCAGACAGAAAAGTGGGGTGCGGGGAAGGCGCAAGCGCCACAAGTTCTGGCCAGGCCATCTGGGGGTGGCCCGGTCCCGGGGCCCTCCTCCTCCCCTGCGCCCCCGGGGCCGGGCGGCGGGGCCGCGCTGCGCGGGGCTGCTCTGCCCACCCGGCGGTCTGGCCCCGCTGACCCCCCGGGCCGACGGCCGCGCACCCGGCCGGAGCCCTGCGCCCGGAGCCCTGCGCCCGGGGCTGTCTTTCTTCTCGCCCCGCCGTACCCAGGCCGGGCGGGGACGGCCGAGACGCGCGCCCGGGGCCACGCCGAGGGTCCCCGCTCCGGGCCGGGCGCTGGCGGGAGGAGCCCGGAGAGCGCGTCGAGTGGGCGCCGCCGGCCCCGGGGACGGAGCGCGGCGAGTGCCGCCGCGGTCCACGCGTGCGTCCGCGCGCGTCGCTTACCCGGCGCGGAGATCGGGGCCAGCTCTCATCCACCCGCCGCCGCGACGCCTCGGTCGCCGGCCCCGGCCCGGCTGCGCTGCACCTGCCGCCCGCCCGGGAGCCCAGCGGCGCCGGGGAGCGGGGAGGAGGCGGCCCCGCGGGTCCCGGCCACGAGCGCGGAGGCGGCGGCGCCAGGTCGCGCGCTCGCGTCCCGCTGCGCGGAGTCTGCGCGGCCCCGGGCCCGGCCTGCGCAGCCGCCGCCCCGCCCCGCGCCGCCGGGCCCCGCCCCGCGTCCTCAGGCTCCGCCCCTCCGCCTCCCGGCTCCGCCCCGCGTCCTCAGGCTCCGCCCCGAGCCTCCGCGCGGGGGCGCGCCTGCCTCTCCCGCCTCCACGCGGGGACGCGCCCGCTCCGCCGGTCACGCGGCGCCGCCTTTGTTTGGGTGGCCCACGCGGGGCCCTCCGCCGGCTCCCACGCGCACGCGCGGCCTCCCGCCAGTCACGGCCACGGACGCCACGGACACAGCCGCGCAGGGGCGCGCGCCGCAGTGGCCCGGCCTGGGCCGACACCCGGGGCGGGGCTCCCCGACACCCGGGGCGGGGCTCCCCGAGGGAAGCCCGGGAGCTGGGAGGCCCGCGCCCCGGCCCCCCCCCCCCCCCCCCCCCGGCGGCCCGGCCTGGTCCGCAGCCGCCCAGGTCCCAGTTACCCAGGTAACCGGCACCCCCGGCCGTGCCTCCCACCTGAACGGGGGTCCCAGGCCCTGAGGCCTCTTCAGGATCCAGTGTGGCCACCTTCCCCACCTGGCCTCACCCCTCCCATCGGGGCCTCGGTAAGTCCCGGCCGGGGGGTGCAGGGCCCCTCCCGCCATGTGCCAGTTTGGTGAGATAAAATAACCTTCTCTTCCTGCCTGAATCCCGCGTGGAGTTCTCTACCTGTTTTATTTGCCTTACAACATTTACGCCCAACCCCTCAGCCTCCCCAGCCTCGCCTAGGCTGAGCTTCCCTACCTGTCCCCATCCTCCCGGGAAATGAGACTTGTCTTCCTGAGACATGGGCTCAGCTATCGGGCCTCGGGGACGTGGCCCTGGCCCTGTCCTCCCAGGGTGCATCCCTGCCCTACCCCACCCAGCCTGCCCGCCAGTGTCAAAGCCACCGGCTCCACAAAGTGTCCTGTCACCCCCAGAAAGGCTCCCACCCCACCCCCACACACCCAGAGCACTGGGGAGGCCCCGCCGCCCCGTTCCCCCTGCCCCCGCCCCGTTCCCCCTGCCCCTGCCCCTGCCCCTGCCCCTGCCCCCGCCCTGTTCCCCCTGCCCCTGCCCCTGGTGTGTGTTTGGTTTTTGTCCTTTTTCCCGATGGTCCCATCAAACCAGCCAGCCCTGAAGAAAGGCTGAGCATTCACATGTGCATCCCTCCCCGATAGGGGACCCAAAAGTCCCATGTTACCCACTTAATCCACAGACAAGCCCAGAGGTGGGGCCTGGGGAGGGCTCTGTCCTTAGGAGTGGCTTCCTGCTGGTTTTGGCAGGAGTGGGATCCTGATGGAAGGGTGGGGTGGGTCTGTGGGACAGTGGGTGGGTCTAAGGGACAGTGCCTAGGCCCCAAGTTCAAGTAAGTTTCAGTACACACATGCACATGCATGCTCATATACCCATGCATGCACACACGCACACATATACATGCACACACACACAGAATGCTAACCTGCCCACAGGTCACTTCCAGCCAGAGCCACTGCCCTGGGGCTTTCCCATTCACCTTGGCCTTGGGCCAGAGCACCTTCGCCCCCACTGGCTGGATGCCCCACCTTTGGACCTGGACGCTGGCTGTTCACCATCTTGGATGCTGGCACTGGCCCTCGGCCCTTGGGCGTCTCTCTTGGGGATCAGCTGTCTCCCTGGGCCTCTGGTCCAGGGTGTTCTGACTGCTGCTCCAGGGCGTGAGCCTCGAGGGCCCTGCCCAGGAAAGGCCAGGACCTCCAGCCACACTGTATGCTCAGGAGGTGCTGAGAGTCCTCAGATACACATGTAACCCTTGGAGCCTCAGTTTCACAGTCTGCAAGTACTTTTGCCCCGGCTGGGACTGTGTCTCAACCTCTGCCTCCCCCCAGGAGATGGCTGGCAGCCTGTGGGCAAGCCGATGCCACACGGCTTCCCTGGGGGGGAAGGCACAGGAGCCCGTGCCTGCCGTCCAGGCTGCGGCCCAGGAGGTAGGCACACCCCATCCATCCACCGTAAGCGGGCTGCCCCTGACAGACCTGACACTTCTTCGTCTAAAAATGTCATGAGGGCTGGGAAGGTGGCTCAATGGTAGAGTGCTTGTCTCACATGCATGAGGCCCTGGGTCGGATCCTCAGCACCACATAAACAGAAAAAGCCGGAAGTGGCGCTGTGGCTCAAGTGGTAGAGCCCTCTCCTTGAGCAAAAGCAGCTCAGGGATAGTGTGCAGGCCCTGAGCTCAAGCCCCTGGACGGGGGAGGGGGGGAATAAAAATGCCATGGAAGGTGAAAAGTCCCGCCATTCAGCAGCCACTTTTCAGGGAAACGTGGACCCGCTCCGGTCCAGTACACCACGGCACAGGTTATATCACACTTCAGAAATGAGTCAGGCACTTAGGGGCATCTGTGTTGGATTGGGCATCGTATGGAGAGATGTGAGGTATGGAGGAGCCCCACCCTGCCCTGGAGACTGCACCCCTGCATGTTAGGCCCTGCTGGAATGCAGGTTCTCAACAGGCTTCCTCTGCCTGGGAAGAGGGGTGAGTGGCGCTGACAACAGGCCTTCCATAGAAGATTGCAACACCACCTTGGGTTCTGATTTCTCAGCCGGATGCATGCGCCACCTCTTGGTCACAGGTGGCAGTGCAGAACAGAGGCCAGAGGGCACCTCCCCCCCCCCCAGTCCACTCCCACCCCACCCCTAGGCCAGCACTTGGGGGCCCTTATGGGTACTGGCACCACTGGGCCCTGCCAGGGCCACACGGCAGAGCCTCCCTCCTTTGCAGCCCTGCCTTCGTGCTTCTTGAGGACAGACTTCTGGCCTGATTCTAGTCAAGGCTCTGCAGTCTTCCTGCAGAATGACCTTGACAAGCTTTCCCTGCTTGCCAGGGTGGTGGGCAGCCACCTTTCCTTTGGCTGCCCATTCGCTCTGAAACCATGCAGAAGCCGGTACACAACAATATGGTCCCCATGGTGGCTCACGCCTGTCATCTTAGCTACTCAGGAGGCTGAGATCTGAGGATCAAGGTTCAAAGTCAGCCCAGGCAGGAAAGTCTGTGAAACTCTTATCTCCAATAAACCACTCAGAAACCTGGAAGTGGTGCTGTGGTTCAGGGGGTAGAGCACTAGCCTTGAGCTGAAGAGCTGAAGGGCAGTGCCCAGGCCCAGAGTTCAAGCCTCGTGACTGACAAAAAAAAATGTATGTATGGATATATATATATGTGGCCCCCAAAATATTTTGTAGGGCAGAAGCCCATATGTGAGCCGACCACATGTGAAGTCAAGGTGGCCTGGCCTGCGGGCTGACATGTTCAGAACTGGACTTGAGGGCCACAGAGGGCATGAAAGAGAGAGAGGAGGCCAGGGGCAGGGTAACAGGTGCCCCTCGCTGGGCCCCCTGGGGGACAGGTGAGCGGGGGGGGGGGGGAGGGCAGAGAGCAACGCCCCGAGTGAGAAGGGACCTGGGGCAGGTCAGGCGCAGGGGTGTCACTGGAGGAAGAAGAGGGGAAGGAAGCAGGGAGGGGGAGAGGAAGGAGGGGAAGGAGAAGACAACCTCAGGAGGATCGGGTCACCTGGGTCCACCGCAGAGGTCCCAGTCCTCCGTCAGCTGGCTCCACTGCTGCAGGCCTGAGGCCAGCAGATGGTGGTCACAGTTCATGTCATGGCAGACAGGACAGGAAGCAACGTCATGGGTGGTGTCCGGGGCACATACCATTTGCAAAGACTCCCTTTCCCCAGGTCCTGCTTCCTCCGCTTCCCACAGCTCCATTTCCCAGCGTTGCCAACAGGTCATGGACCCATCACGGAACAAATCCACGGAAGAAGCCAGAACCCACAGGATCCGGTCAGAACCCATCAGCTGGCAAGGGAACTCCCAACTCAGGAGCCTGTGGGAGACACTCCATGCTCGAACCATAATAGATCCTGAAATTGAGTAGGAAGTCGCAGTGTGGACTTAGGTGGGCTCATTTTAAAACACGCATGCCTGCTCCAGCCAACAAAAATGCCTGGGGCTGAGGGCCAGCACAGGCACAGTGCACACGGCAGCATAGCCGTGCTCTGATCCCCACAGACGAGGCCAGCTCTGGGCGAGGGCGCAGCCTCCTGTCATCGCCAGTGAGGAGCCATGAAGGAAGGGTCCTGGGGGAGCTCAGCAGGGCCAGAGACCACAGGCGCCTCCTGGGAAGGAAGGTAGGACAGCAGAGCAGGTTAATCCCACATGACACTGAAAAAATCACATTTCACCTATGGAAGGAACAGGAGGGCGCAATGTCTCTGTGCCTCTGATCATATAGAATGATATTTATTGAAATGAATTCCAGGAAATGGAAAAAAATCATTACAGGACATGAGGTAGGCAGCTCATTACTTTGAAATCAATGAAACTAAAATAAATAAATAAATTTCCTCTTGTTCCTATATGAACTCTAAGTCAGGATGACATTGTGGCTGAAGAGATACTTGATTTTGTGTGTGTGGGTCAGTATAGGGGCTTGAACTCAGGGCCTGAGTGCTGTCCCTGAGCGTTTTTCACTCAAGGGTAGCACTCTACTGCTTGAGCCACAGCTCCACTTCTGACATTTTGATGTGTATTTGAAGATACGAGTCTCACAGACTGTTTGCCTGAGTTAGGTTTGAACGATGATCCTCAGATCTCAGTCTCCTGAATAGCTAGGATTACAGGTGTGAGCTACCCACACCTGGCTGATAAGTTGTTGTTTTTTATTTTTAATGATACTTCAGCCAATGAATGAAGAAGTGACAGAATTTGAGCACCAATTTGCATACTCTAGTAGATTATGGGATGGAGGGCCACAGCCATCCAAGCATCCTAACCCCTGGAAGAGAGAGAATGTGAAATGGGGTACCTACAGATGGGAGACATCACC